GAAGTGGGGGCGGCTACCCCCGCTTCCCCCTTCTGCGTATCCCCGCGGAGCGGAGGCCTTGGAGGAGCTTCTGGGCACGAAGCTTGCGCATGGCGGCGGCTGCGGCGGCCTTGGCTGCGGCGTCGCCTGCTGCCTCGCCGTTGCCCACCTCGCCCGCCGCGGCCTCTGCTGCCCCCTCCTCGGTGGCCTCTTCCTCCAGGGGGTCCAGGATGACGTCGACGTCCTTCTCGTCGATCTCCTGCTCGTCGCCGCTCCCGTCGCGCTCCGCCGCGGCACCTGCTGTGGCAACGCGCTGTGCCAGACGCCGCAACTCTGCGACTTGGCCGTCCCATTGCTCAGCGAAGCCAGGGGCGAGCATGCCTGAGCACTGGTTAAGAGCGGCGAGGAAAGCGGTGGCTCGCTCCCCCTCGCTGAGTTGGGCGCCTGGGGACGCTGGGGCAACCGTCCCTCGCGGCCCTTCCTCCCGCTGCTGTGCTTCACGCTCGCGGAGCTGTTGCGCCAGGAGGTTGTCGATGAGCGCCTGGAGCTCCTTCTCGCCGGCCTGACTCTGCGCATGTTTGCCCTCCAGCTCGAGCTTGTGGGCCTGTAGTTCAGCGAGCTGCTTGTCCGCCGCCGAGATCCTGCTCGCCAAGGCCGCCGTGGTGGCCTCCTGGTTCTTCTGCTTGCGCTCCAACTCGCTGAGCTGGACTGAGGTGGGCTTGGTTGCTGCCAACTCGTTCTCCAACTGCTGCGCCTCCTGCCGCTTGGATTCGAGAATGGCCTCCGCGCCGTCCACGCCCTCGATCTTCTTGATCTCACTTCGTAGCTTGCCCAATCGGCGGACACGTTCAGACTTGTCGTCAGGCTGCGACCCGACGCCTGCCGCCCCAGCGCCACCGCCATCGATTCCTGGTCCTGCTTGGCTGCTGGCCTCCAACTTTTTGACCTTCCTCCGCAACTGGTTGAGCTCGTGGCGTTCTCTGGCGTCCAGTTGTGACATGCCACTCCACCAAGAACTCGTACCAGAACCGCTTTCCCACCAGTCGTAGCCGCAGCTCCTGCAGACGTGCCGAGAGCCCCAATTCTTCTTGGCTCCGCACTGGGGGCAATCCCAGACCCTGGGCGCTGCACCGCTGCCGCCCGCGCCTGTCGCTTGGCCGCCCCGCTGTCCACGGCTGCTACTGGCTCTGCCGCCGCCACCGCGCGCGGCACCACGAGCACCACCTCCACGTCCTGCCATTGGTCGAGCCCGCCGCGGCTGGGCTCCCAATCGGGCGACTGGGGCCGGGTGTCGGTGATGTGATATGGAAAGAACTGTGGCCCAAAAGGCCTCACTGAAAGCTTGGAAGATTGGGAATCTGACCCAAGAATGGACGCGACGGCTAGAGCCAGCCTCATGAGACCAGACATCTGCCCTGATCGCGCCACCTTGAGCCAAAATGGCTACGGATGATGATGATGATGATGATGATGATGATGATGATGATGATGATGATGCTGACGATGACGATGACGATGACGATGATGGTGGCGATGATGATGACGATGACGACGACGAGAATGATGATGATGACGATGATGATGACGATGACGATGATGATGATGATGAAGATGATGATGATGATGACGATGATGATGATGATGATGACGATGATGATGATGACGATGACGATGATGATGATGATGAGGAGGAGGAGGAGGAGAAGGAAGAGGAGGAGGAGGAGGAGGGATGATGATGATGATGATGCTGATGCTGACGATGACAGTGACGATGATGATGGCGATGATGATGACGATGACGATGTCGATAATGATGATAATGATGATGATGATGACGATGATGATGACGATGACGATGATGATGATGATGATGACGAGGATGAAAATGATGATGATGATGATGATGATGATGATGATGATGATGTCAATGATGATGATGACGATGATGACGATGATGATGATGATGATGATGATGATGATGATGACGATGATGATGCTGATGATGACGATGACGATGATGATGATGACGATGATGATGATGATGATGATGATGATGATGATGATGATGATGATGATGATGATGAGGAGGAGGAGGAGGAGGAGGAGGAGGAGGAGGAGGAGGATAAAAACAAACAGTCTCTGAGGATACCGAGCACGTGCCCTTCGGGGAGGGGACCCTTTTGTGCCGCCAGGCTGTTCCCCTCTCTGGGAGCAGACCCCACAGGAGGGACGAGGGGGTGAAGGCGAGGGCCGTCGTCCCCCAGCCCCAGACATGCGACGTCCTGATTTTTTCCGTGCGGCGTCCCCCGAAGTCTCGATCCCTTCCCCAGGACCGGCCTCTCGTCCCGAGTCGTTCTGTTGACGGCCACGAGGCAGGGCGAGGGCCTCTGTAGAGGCCGACATCGGCCCAAAACCTCCCGTCCTGTTTTTTTTTGGGGGGTCAAAACCATGTTTTACAATACGACGCGATGTCATCCCCCCGCGGTCGCGCTGGGGAGCCGCTCCGTGGCTCTCCTCGGCCGCCTCCTCCTCCTCCTCCTCCGGTCCGAGGGAGGAGGAGGAGGGAGGAGGAGGAGCTAGTAGATGGGGTCGAAGGATCGCGCCGCATCGCCGATGCTTCGCCAATGCATCGCCGATGCATCGGCGATGCATTGGCGATGCTCTGGCGGCGTCGGCGATACATCAGCGCCGTCTGCGTGGAGAAAACCAGGCTCCGCATCGAGCCGCATCGCCGATGCATCGGCGATGCGGCACGATCCTCCGACACCATCTACTCCGACCGCATTTAGGAGGCCCAGATGGACGTGAGGGGAAATAGGGGAACGACAAATGACACAAGCATAAAACCTCGGAAGTCCGCGCGGACTTCTCGGATCGGCGCTGTGGCCCCCTGGCGGCGCCTCCGGCGCCGCCCTTGGCGCGCTCCGCGTACCAGGGAGGGGAGCCCAGCGCGGTTCCAAGAAATCCGCGCGGACCTCCGAGTTGTCAGGTTTATGCAATTTTTCGTTCCCCTAGGAAAGCCGCCTCGGGTGAGCTGGCCCGATGGCGCATCGCAGTGCACCCACAGCTGAGGCCGGCGCCAAAATGATGGGCCTGCTTTCCACCACCACCACCATAAGTTAGAGGGGGGAGGAAGTGGGGGACGAGGAGGAGGAGGAGGAGGAGGAGGAGGAGGAGGAGGACGAAGAGAAGGAGGAGGAGGACGAAGAAGAGGAGGAGGAGGAGG